TACGGCACCTGGCTGATGCTTGTCTCCTGGCCACCAATAATCCTTTGTCCATCGGCAGCGTGCAGCAACCAGAACAACCAACATAACTCTAGCCAACACATGGCGTGTCCAGACTCAGACATCAACTGAACAGTGTGTGCGGAGTGCACTACTTCATTTTCAGATCATTCTATTGAATACACCATAACAATATAAATTGATATGCGTCGAAATTTTGCAATGGATTCCACCTGGACAATGCCAACTTATTGTGCGCTCTTTACAATGAGATAATTACGATTGCAATAGCAATAGAAGTTCTCGCTTAAATCAATTCAATAGGCAAACTCAAAATAATAGTTTTTAATGTAAAATACTTTAAAAATTCAGATCTAGTCCAAGCAGTTTGTCTCTATGAAGCTTTGAAGGAACCACATCATTGATGAACTGCTAAAGCGTGTGTAGACGCCAGGTAGCCCACTGCCACAGTCTTTGCCCCAGGATACTACACCCACAACACGACCTCCATACAGAATGGGACTTCCGGAATCGCCTTGGCAGGCATCAATCTTATTTTCACCCAAAGCACAGAACATATTCTTTGTTATTGGAGTTATTAAGCTCATCTGGCGATTGCATTGATCTCGGCGCACCAGACTGACATCGGCTGATTGCAAGCATTGCCCCCAATCTAGACCCTCTTCATTGGTCATGCCCCAGCCAACAATTCTCATACGTGCATCTTCCGGCGGATCGTTGAAATCGACGGCAACGGTGTTTATAATATCCGACGTGTAAAATGGCTGACGCAGCTTGATGACTGCCAGATCCGCATCTAAATTTATTGGTTTATATTGTGGAGATATACAAGCATACCAGGCCTGACGTACATTCGAATCTGGAATTGAATCATTTAGGCAGTCTTGTTGGGCATTTACATATAAGTTATCGACATTTTGCACATCATTTTCCAGACAATGTGCGGCTGTGACCACACAGCTGGGCGCAATGAGAGCGCCGCCGCATTTAAATGTTGGACCTCGTCGCAAATTCACCAGAAATGGGTAGTTCCGAACAGGCTCCGTTATTCCACCAAAGATTTTGAGCTCCTGGCTAAGTGCGCCAGCTAATAGCTGGAGCAACGTTAGCCATGTTATGAGTTTTAGCCACATATTCCAAAATCACACACTAAATGGACAATTGTCATCCACATTGCGAATTTTTTTTTTTTTTTTTTATTATTATTTTTTGAAAATTTTCTTAAACCTAAATCCTAAAAGTTTTGACACTTGTTTAAACGCCAGGATAGTTCATAGACGGCTGGGTCACCCGAATTGCCTTCGCAGCTGCAGACCATGGTTGGGCAAAGGCTGCGGGTATAAAAACTTTGATCACGGTTCTTTGAACACTTGTTGCAGTTGTCATGCGAAAGCGGGCCAGATGATGGACTATAGGGATTTTTGCTCCAGTCAATGGATTCCATCTAGATAATGCAATCTTTTTGTGCGATCTTTACAATAGATAATTACGATTGCAATCGCAATAGAAGTTCTCGCCTAACTCAATTGAAGTGGAAACTCAAAGCTAGAAAAAAGTAGTTTTTAATGTAAATTATTTCGATAGATCAGATCTTATACTAGCAGTGTGTATCCATGAACCTTTTAAGGAACCACGACATTGCTGAGCTGCCAAAGCGTGTGTAGACGCCAGGTAGCCCGCTGCCACATCCCTCACCCCAGGATACTACACCCACAGGGCGACCAGCATACAGAATGGGACTTCCGGAATCGCCTTGGCAGGCATCGGTAGCATTTGGACCCAGAGCACAGAGCATATTATTCGTTATTGGGCCATACGAGTTCATCTGGCGTTGACATTGATCTCGCCTCACCAGGCTGACGTTGGCTGTTTGCAGGCATTGCCCCCAATTCTGACCCCCACTACCGGTCATGCCCCAGCCAAGAATCCTTAGATCCGCCCCTTCCGGCAGGTCGTTGAAGTCAATGGGAACGGTGCTCACATTGCCCGCTGTGTAGAACGGCTGACGCAGCTTGATGATTGCCACATCCGCATCGAATGTATATCCATTATACTGTGGAGCTACACAAGCAAACCAGGCTTGACGGACATGCGCTTCTGGACTTGAATCACTTAGGCAGTCTTGCTGGGCATGCACGTATAAGTCCTCGACATATTGCGGATGACCCTCCAGACAATGAGCGGCTGTGACCACACAGCTAGGCGCAATGAGAGCGCCGCCACATCTAAAATACGGACCTCGTCGCAAATTCACCATAAATGGATAATTCCGAATCGTCTCCGTTTGTCCACCAAAGATTTTGTCCTGCTGGCTAGGCGCGCCAGCTAGCAGCTGGAGCAACGTTAGCCAGGTTACGAGTTTCAGCCACATTTTCCTAAAGCACGCACGAATTGAGCGCTTATATAGCCAATAGACAGACATTCCCCAGCTAATTGACTGGTGATAAGCGTAATCTTGAACTAATTTATTATGTCTAGAATGCAACCAGCTACAAGTTAGGAATACTCTGCCATGGTGGCCATAAACCATCTTCTTATCGTTGGTACGTTGGTGTAGACGCCAGGCAAGCGGCTGGCGCATTGGAAACCAAAGGAGACTATGCCAACCAGCTCACCTTGATAGACCATCGGGCCGCCGGAGTCACCGTCACAGGAGTCCCTTTCATAAGGCTTCGCTGCGCAGATCATGTTACTGCTGATGAATTGCTTGCCACGGTAGACCGCTTGGCAGGCTCTACGCGGCCAGACGGGTATGATGACACTGTGTACATGGCGTGCCGTTTCCGAGGATTTGGGATTGACCGCACCCCAGCCGGAGACTTTGACCAGGCGGCCTGGTGGCACTGGCCGAGTGGCCAATGCAATCGTGTCCACTTGCCCACCACTCATATCCTCGTTGAGATACAGGGCGGCCACGTCCATGTTCATTGTCTTACTGTTAAATTTCGGGTGTATCACGATTAGATCGATCAAGCGCTGAATGGCGTTTTGAGCACCCTGCACCGATGTGCCGCCATAGACTCGTAACTCAGCTATGCGCACTCTGTCCACACAATGAGCAGCAGTGATGACCCATCGTGTGGTGATCAGCGAACCACCACAAATCTCTTTAGCCGACGACACTTGCACCAGATACTTGAGATCCCTTATGTCTGAGACGTAGCCGCCAATGATGCGAGGCTGGATGTCTGATGATGTCTGATTTGCTTCGAGCGACCAAACACTGGCCAAGAGCAGTGGCAAAAGCTGTGATCCAATCATGTTCTATATAAGGAGGAACTAACCAACTACATTTGAGGCAGTGGGCCAAGTGCTTTTATACCTTTTGGGCTGCGCTATCAACAAATCTGGAATCAGAAATCTGAAACATATATCAACATTTGCACAATTGTTTCCACCCATAGGGCGGCTGCTCATTGTTGACTTTAAATAATATTATTAGCTGTAGAGTTGATTACTTAAGAGTGTTGAGTGTTCTCTATTCGAAGAGCTAACAACATTTTAGACTCTATACTCTCTCTCTCTCTCTCTCTATTACTCTTAAAGACGGAAACTGTACAAAGTGAGGAAACTTAATGGAAAAGTTATCTCAAAATACTACTACGTAATACTGCTAACTCATCGATTTGGCTTAAAGATTGAAAACCGTCTGTATGTACAGATATATTTCCTTGTTCAATTTAATTACTGGAAATGATTCTGTTAATCCATCTACGCAAGTTGCCCACTCGGGTATAGACACCGGGATATTCAGGTCTGGCACAGCCCGTGCCGAAGGAGACAATGCCCATCAGCCTATTGTTTTGCACGGCACCACCGCCCGAGTCACCGCTGCAGGAATCTCTGCCCCTGGCCTGTGCACAGAACATCCTATTAGTTATGGTGGTCGTCGCTCCTTGATAGGCCAGTCGGCAAGCGCTCTGCTTGACCACTATCAGTTGAACCGATCTTAGTTGTGTGACCGAAGTGCCGCCCTCCCTGGTGGCGCCCCATCCACCGATTCTCACCCTTGTGCCCGGTCGTGGCACTCGCTGACCCAATGCAATGGTTCCAATATTCGTGCCCGTCATCGTCTCGTTTAGCTTCATCAGTGCGGCATCCATATTCAAGCCTTTTCTGGTGTAGAGGGGCGCCACGCTGGTGAAGGTGACAGTGCGTCCTACGCCATCCGTTCCATTCAGCGTGGATGTGCCGCCGACTACATAAAATTCGGAGGCATCAATGCCCGATACGCAGTGGGCGGCAGTCAGGACCCATTCGGGCCTAATCAATGAGCCGCCACACAAGCTTTCCCCACGATGTATTTGCACCAGATATGGCATCGTGGCTATGGATGCAGTGGGGCCACCTAAAATCCGCGCCCTGCCACCGCCAACAATGCGAGCTGAAGCTCTATTCCGATTCCTTCTGTTTGCCCGGTTCCTTCGGTTTGCACGGTTCCTTCTGCTCAAACGATTCCTTCCATTTCTATTGCGATTGTTAAATCTTCTCCAGCGGTTCGCTCTCCTTCGGCGATTGTTGAGGGGATTCCAATTGCCGTTGCCGCTGTCATTGCTGTTGTTGACGATGCGAGGCTGAAGACGGTTACGTCTAATGGATGTAGTGTCCGTATTACTGGCGATTCGAGGCTCGATCTGATTCCTGGCACGGGCAAGCCCTGTATTACGGTTTCTCTGATTGCGGCTACGACGTTGTGCCGCCGCTAGTCGATCCAGCAGCAGCAGAATAAAGACCAAGTATAACCAGCGCAACCGCATCTCGATGTGAAATGTACGCGAATTTACCTTGGCCCGTCTTTTATGCCCTGGCCAACAGCACACGCCAAACGGGCCGTACAACTGTGTAAATAGTTGGATAAGAAAAGAGAGTTTGGCTTTGCAATGGGTTGATTGAGCCAGATGGGCCTTGTGTCTTGCGCGCACGATGACGCGATCCGCTAAACTAACACAATGTCCTATGTTGAAAACAACAACATATAAAAGTAAAACAATCAGGGCTGTTGGCTGCAAAGCTTCTAGTTTATTTTTATACTCATTAGTTGTAATACTTAAAGGCGTAATCCTAAGACTCGAACAGATATCAGTGGCAATATCTGAGCATATTGTGGACTATCCAGTCGTGCAGGTGCGCCACGCTCGTGTACACACCTGGACTGTCCTCGTGGGCACAGCGATTGGCCTTGCCCCAGGACACGATGCCCGCCAGCTGGCCATCCATGTCGACCGCCGGTCCGCCGGAGTCCGCATTGCAGGCGTCCTTATAGCCAGCCACCGAGGCGCAGAACATGCTGTCCGTTATATTCCTGTAGCCCTGATAGAGCTGCTGGCACTTGAGGCGGGGCAGCACCTTCACCTGCACACTGTGCAGCTGATTGGGCAGCTGGAGTGAACGCTCATCGGTCAGTCCCCAGCCCGAGACACGCACGTAACTGCCCGGGCGCGGCGGCTGCCTGGCCAGCTGGATGGGCTCAATGTGCTCACCGTGCAGCGGATTCTGCAGCTGCAGCAGTGCCACATCCTGGTCAAAAGTGGTTAAATTATAGCCACTGGGCATCAGAATGCGATTCACGGCGCGTCCATTGCTCATATCTGTCAAATAGGTCACGCCACCACGCACCACGTAATCCGACGGTCTCTGCTGCTTCGACTGCAGGCAGTGGGCGGCGGTCAAGACGCAGCGTGGAGTCACCAAAGATCCACCGCACTGAAAGCCACCACGATGTCTGATATTCACCATATGCGGCTGCGAATTCACCTCGATGCGTTGCCCGCCCACCACGCGTGGTATACGCCTGCGCTCTGCTGCCGACGGCCTAAGAGCCCAGCAGCTCTCCAATAGAAGCAGCACCAAGACAATATGCATCTTCAGCTTGTAACGAAGGCTATGAATCAACTGTCGCACGCGACGCACCTATCCGCCCTTTATATGGACTGGTGTGGTTGGGAAAACCATATGAAAAGGTCGAGAGGCAGCGTTACTTACCTTACCCAACATCGTGTTCACATTACAGCTGCAGGTAAAACACCTGTGCCCGCTGTTTACATACAACACCATTGAACTTGGCCAGCCACACCATCGACTATTGAGTTTTATGTACCCATTGAAAAATTGCTAAAAGGGTATACTGTTTATCTATAAATTAAATAAAAATTGTCTATTATTATTTATTATTGATTTTTTTTCTTTAATATTTACTATATTTTTTTTATTAACTATTAAATATTGATTTTTATTTTATTTATATATTTCGATTACCAATTCATTCAAGTAAGGGGTTTCCTGTAATTTTAATCTTCTTCTTCTTTTCTTACAGTCTTCCTCACCACGGATGTTTCATCGAATCGGCAAAAGCTGCACACCCAGATCCAGGTGGATGTGGGTGAACTGTCTGCCCATGGCAGCAACACCGCCACTTACTACATATTCAGCCTGGTGGAGGCAGAGATCAAGCTGCAGCAGAGACTCAGCTATACGCTGGATGTGGATCGCAGTGCAAGTGGTGGCGGAGCTGGTCACAGCACCACGCCCACCAGCACGGATACAACGCCCGAGCATGTGAACCAGCTGGTCACCAACAGCCTGGCGGTCATATCGCCCGTGCAAATCGAGTATCTGGACGAGACGAGGCTGCGCAAGTCCCGGGAGGATACCCTGACCGTGCGCTGTGCCGGCGACTTTAAGTTCAATGCCCGGTTCTACACACTCAATCGCCGTCCATTGAGTCAGGTCTATCGGGGGGAGAACTTTTTGCTGCGCGCCAATACGGAGGTAGTTGCCGTGGACGAGGTGGAGATATTGGACAGCTTCTTTATATGTGTAAGTGCACAAGCCCCAAAGAGTGTTGCAGCATGTTAACTTTTCTCTGCAGGATCACAATTTAGTGCAATCGAACTACAGTTTTAAGCGGAAGAAGTATACCAACAAATACAGGGCTGGGGATCAGCTGGAGAGCGTCATCGTGCTGCGCACGAATGCCACGCTGCAGGATTGGACGACTGCACGGGATTTGGAGCGCTCCAAGTCCGAGGAGAGTGTGAGCAATAAGTTTGTGAGTCGCCAGCAGAAGACACAGCTTGCAGCGGGTCAAGCTGGAGATGCGCCGCCCCAGGCGCCAAATGTTGCCCAGAGTAATTTTATGAGCAAGAGTCTCCTGGGCAAGATACCCACATCGATGACCATCATCAATAATAACCCCAATGCTCTGCAGCTATCCACAGTGGGCGCCCTGAGCAACTCCCTGCATTCCGATGATGGCAAGCTAATCGTGGCGGGCACGGACGAAGGCACTACGCTGCCTGCCAGTGGGCAGGAGGCGCACAAGAGCATGCGCGTCGTGTACAACAAGGCACTGGAAGCGGTGCAGGCTACGGGTCATTGTCGCGGCTTCATCAAAGGCGTCTATACCTTGGATGCTGGAGCAGGAGTACCAACGATACCTCGCTTTGGCGTCTTCTGCATACGCTGGCGTCGAGCAGGCGGCAAGGAGGAGAACGAATCTAAATTTATCATAAGTGGCCTTGATATAGCGGAGCCGCCGTTGAACATATACTGCACCATCGAGGAGAAGATGTTTGTCAAAATGCCGATGGCCTTCAAGGTGGTGCTCAAGAACCCAACAATGCACGTCCTGCATCTGATAGCCACGTTGTCCATTAGCAAATCTGATAACTTTATATGCTCCGGCCACAAGCAGGTGGGTTAGCAACACAGTCCACTTCACATTTCTGTAAGGGTATTCAATGTGATTTCTACCACAGCTGGATGTCTCGATAATGGCGTATGATGAGAAGGAGCTGGTCTACAATCTGTATCCGCTGCAGGTGGCCTGGCAGGAGCTGCCCGTCCTCACGCTGGAGTACAACACCAAGGCTGATCCTCAAAAGCATGACAGCGAAAATGCGCTGCTCGACGAGCTGGTGCAACGAGCTCTACCCAAGCGCGTCTTTGTGCTGGTAAGTAAACCCTATATATGAATATATAGTCATCCGAAAACCTTGGTCTTAACACGAACTTGAATTTCATTTCAGCCACCGCTGAAGCAGCTGACCAAGTAAATGTTATCCTGTGCATATTTAGCTAATTTAAGTGTTTTAAAGTCCTCTATTACTATATCATTGTGGTATGTAAAAAACGAAACTAAAAATTCAATTAATTCTAGATTTTCTCTTTGTTTATTTGCTAAAGTTAAACAAAAGAAGTATACAACAAAATTAATTATAATAGTTAAACAGGCAGACAGACAGACAACACACATGCATTATTTATATTTATAGATTTATATAGCGTAATACTTCTGCTGCGGGTGTGTGCATGTGTGTCTTGTGATTGTATTTGTAGTGTATGTGTGTGTATGTTTGTAAAAATAAATTGAAAGGGCTCGCTATATTTTGATTACAAGTGCCCTGGCCTAGCTTGGCCTGGCCGGGCCTGCATTGGGTCTCCCAAACGTAATACGATATGCATATACATACATATTTAGATATATATCAATATATATATATATATATATATGTATAAATAAATATGATTTGAATAAAGGCATTAATCTGTTCTCTTGCCGCTTGATTGAAATTTGAAAACGCCGCCGCTTTTTCTTTGGTTTCGATTCTCGCTCTGCAAAATAAACATGGATTAATATCAGTTAACGATTTCTAGTTTTCAGCTAATGTCAAGTTACCAGCAAACGATTGCCAAATAGCATTTTGGCTTTATCCTCTTCTTGGGGCGTGGCACGCTCACCTGCCGACAGCACCGGCTGGCGTCGATGGATTTGCAGCTTCTGCTTGATTGCTTGCGAGAGAATGACGCGCCTGCTGACGGACTTCATGGCCAGCAAGAGATCCAGCCAGGTCCAGGTGACATTGTGATACTCCAGCGTGGGTATCACTAGCGAATAGTCGGTAATGTCCTCCAGATTCTTTTCCTTGTTGCCCTTGTAGCTGACACGCACCGGCACCTCGGGTATCTTGATATATATGAAGAGTTTGTTTTTCTCTGCGCGCTCCTTCATCTTTTCGACATCGTCCTTCTCGATTTTCACATAGAACTCGGAGTCCTTGGCACTCTTCTTGCTCTTGGCAACACGTTTGGACGATAATGCAGACTTGGACTGTAAATTCGTTGTAGATGCTGAACTGGTGGACGCATTGTCATCCAGCTCATCGCTGACCTCCGTTTCGGAAGCATCGCGATCCGGGAAACAGAACTTCAACATGGTGCTATAGAACTTCTTGGTGATCGCTATGGTAATGGGCGCCACATTGATCTCAAAGTGGTCCTTTACGGAAATGCCGCCAACCGGCGGCTTCTCGCGGCAAAAGATGCGTAGCACACGCTTATGCGTATCCACGGGCATGTCTTTCTGTATCTCCGTGGCCAGCAGAACGTCACGATATATTTCACGCGGCAGCAGATTCTCCATTCGGATATTTCCTAGCTCCAGCAGATGCTCGACGGAATCATCGCTCTTGGATTTTTTCGTATAAAGGAAAGCACTCAGCACCAAATCTGCAATGCCAATCTGGCCATCGGTTTCGGTAAGTCGCCACTGGGCACGCTTAAAGCAGATCTCGTTGGCTCGCACCATTGTCACTGACTTGTCCGAGCGCACGTTGGAGATTTTGCTGAGCTGGGACAGCTGGGTCTCCTTGTAGCACAGCAGCATCATGTCCAGCTCCTCGCTGAAAGTGTTCAACTCCTCCTTGCTCTCGCGAATCTGCTTCTGCACTCGCTCAAACTCGGCGCGTAGCTCTAGCGTGTCGCCCTCCTCGATGCGCTCCTTGCTGATTAGATGTATGTCCTTCTCCAGTGAGCGTATCTTCATCAGCAAGCTGCGTATCACTGTCTGCTTCTGCTGGATGGGCCGTTTCTGATCCTCCGTGGAGTGCAGCTGCAGCTGGAAGCGCATGCGGGTTAGCTTCTCAGCCGCCTGCTTGCGCTGCGGCTCCACGTAGAGCAGTAAATTGTTGACTATATCCAAGATCATAGCGTACTGTAGGGAATTGGTGCACACGTCCAGGTCATGATGCATCAGTGTAAAGGCATCCACGGGATCATCCTGCTTCTCCCACGGTGACAAGGTTTCCTCTGATGGTGGCGGCGGCACTTCAATAATGTTATTCGGATCGATGGCATCGCCGTAGCTTACGTAGAAGAATTCGCATTTACATTTGGACACGATGCGCTGCAGCTGCACCGGCTGCGCCTGCCCAGAGTTGTCGCTAAGGAAGGCACCCACGGTTTCGGAAACAACGCCACCCACACTACGTCCACTGCCCACCAGATGCGAGATGTCCTCGGGCAGGTGATTATTAATCACCGTCTCATCTTTGTCCTGTATATTGTCGACGGTAAGCCACATGATCTCCTTCTCCAATAGCGAGTCGTTGTCGCCGGCACTGACTGTTGCATAGTACTGCATGCACTCTAGCAATCCCTTCCACGTCGTCTTCGAGATGAGCGAACGATCCCGCCACACAGGTCGATGCTCGCGTTGCAATATTTCTGCCTTGGCAGCACTGATGATCACATATCCTGATGTCTCACAGCCTTTAAGTAATACCTGAGAGTTGACTAGACTGATGGACCAGTTTTCATGTATAATATCCTGCGCGGAACAGGCCTGCAATCCCTGCAGCTGCAGTTCCCTCGATTGTGTACTGTGATCATCGCTGTACACATTGAACTTGTGATCCGCCTCCGCGATAAGCTGTTGCAGCATGGCGGTGGCATGAATCTGACCCGGTGCCTTTTTCAGCGCAGTATTCGCATTGGCAACTGCAAAGAAAGGATATACATTAACAGACTTTCATGGAAATCACTTGGAAACCTACTTGGCAACACCTCGGTGCTAGTGCTGGCCA